GAGAGAGAGAGAGAGAGAGAGAGAGAGAGAGAGAGAAGAGGTTGTGTGAAGAAAAGCTCGGAGTGTCCTGATCTCAGAATGGAATCGCAAGATGTAGTAAGAGAGGGGACACTATGAACTTTGGAACTTCAAACATCAGCGAGGCTTCTGCTGCCTAGGCTGTGCGCTGGGACCGCCGGCTGTCGCATGCACCCATGTCTCCAGCAGATACTGCCCCGTGGGATTGATGATGTCTATCAGGAGGAGATTGAGGCAGATTGGGTTAAGCCCCCCTGGTCATGCTTACCAAATTCTCTCCAGTTTTTCCTGAATCTCCAGTCTTCTCAGACACTCAAGTGCTACTTGTAAAGGGAGGAAGGGGGCTGGGTGGCCAGGTGTAGACAGGCGCCCTGCAGCAGGGTGAAGAGGCCTCCTTTCTCCCGAACTCCTCTCACCAGCTCACCGCCTGCTCAGTTAATCCCCTGATAACATGGGTAATCAATGCTGGCAGGTTGATGCTTGACAGAATATGCTCAGATTCCTGATGTAAAATGGGACCCGGGACCCGGTTTCCAGCAGGTATGGCTCCCCCCCAATAGACTGGAGCACCCAGGAAAGCCACTAGGAGAGGTGCTCTTATGACCTCCCCTAGTGGCGGGACTGGTTTAGACAAAAAAGAAGAAGAAGAAGAAGAAGAGAAAAGAGATAGAGGCAGGCTGAGCATGTAACTGTCAGCTGGAAGAAGTGGTCACTGGTTAGGGCTGTGGTTTGAAATGTCGAAGCCATCAATGGGGGTGAAGATCAGGTCACATGGCTGGGCAATGGCGGGAAAGTACCATGGTCCCGGAGGGCAAGGTCTCTCAAGGCGAGGGAGGAGGTCGTGAGAGGGGAAGGAAGAGGTCGCGTGAGGAGGAGGTGGCTCGATCATCATCAGAGGAAAAAAGGAGGTGAAGAAGAGAGGGTTGACGAGAATAGAGGGAGATGACACTGTTTCAAACTTGTGCATTTTTACCTTCATCTTCTTCCGTTCTCCATTCTACTCCGCTGTTTGTGTTTTTCATAGCTACGCCGGACCGGACACCGGACCAAATCCGGACCCCGGACCTCCCGGGGTCTTCCAGACTTCCGGAAAACCGGAATATTCTGGAAAATCCGGAACGGTCCGGATTCCCCGTCCGGGTTCCTGTCCGGATGCAATATATTATCCGGAAAAAAAAAAAAAAAAAAAAAAAAAAACAGTATAGTACATGCTTAAAAGTTACATTACCTGAGTGGACAATGCGCAGAGCGCAGTCACTACAGCTTGCACACCTGCACACCGATTCAAAGATGCACAACTTGAACTGTGCAAACTGCACAGCGCACAGTGCACACTGCACACACAACAAATTGAACTTAGGAGTTTGAAATTTGAATTAACTTAAAATTGAACTTTGAACAGATCCAACAACTTCTAGACCGCCGCTGTCCCCTAAGTGATTGCAGAGTCCTTCATGATTCATGAATGACCACCCCAAAAACGGCAGTCCACGAATCTCTCTCTCTCTCTCTCTCTCTCTCTCTCTCTCTCTCTCTCTCTCTCTCTCTCTCTCTCTCTCTCTCTCTCTCTCTCTCTCTAATGACTCTCTATATCCCCCTCTGGTTTTTCTCAGCCAATGGCCGCTTATCATCGCTTGATGGGTGGTCTGATGAGCCTTCCTCTTCACCATCATGTGGCCTCTTCCTTGCCACGTCCTGGTCACTGCTTGGCACACCCTCATCATTGCCCCCCTCTACTTCGTTCTTATCAATTATCTGCATAGGGTTGTCCTCTCCCTCCGCAATCACAGCATCTGAACAGTCCAGTTCCGTCGCTGGTCTTTTTCTTGGCCTGCCTCTAGTTTTTTTTTGGCGTTGAGGATCAGGCTATGCCGACGATGTCCCAGTCTCCTTTTGTGGTGCTGTCGTTGCAACATCATGAGGCAGTGTGTCACCGCCTCCCTTCTTGTGAGCACGCATGTGCTCCTCTGTTCCCAAGGTGCGTGCCTTTCTTCGCACATCTCTTTGGGAACGTTTAGATAGGAAGTTGCCTGCCTTCGTCAATCCACATCAGTCCCCGTGCTGACCCTCCTCAATCTCCTCCAGGTTGCATTCTTCACGGCAGGGAACAACAGCTTCATCCCCATCTTCATCATTCCCGTCATCAGTTGGTGGAACAACATTGTCACCAGCTGAGGTAAGACTCTTCAATCGCCGCTCAGCCACCTTCACTCTTTCTTTGGCCTCCTTTTGCTCCTCCTCTATCGGTGGGTCATCCCATTCAATAAGGTCTTTGGCCCTCTCTAGCAGCATGTCAAGTAGCTGCATGTTCCACTTGCTGTACACCAGCTTGTGCATTGTCTCGGGGGCCAAGCCATTGCGCTCTTTGGTGTGAATTGCTGCGAAAAGGCTCCAATTCCTTTCGCAGCCTGAAGCGGACGACCGTTGCCCCAACAGTCGAATGGCATGGGGCTGCAAGTGTTGTAGCTAATTGCATCAGCGCTTCGACCATGCCGCAGGATTCTACTTACGGGCTGCATCCATAGCCACCTGCGAGCTGAACTTGCCAATGTTTTGAACCCATCAATCGACTTCATACTCCACCTGGTCGCACACCTCCTGTGATGCCCCTTTGAGCCATGTGTACACCTAGGTGTAGAATCCATCTTGGATCTCTGCACGCTTGTGCGGCTCAGACGACCTGTACTGTGGATCTAGGAACAGGGCTGCACAACGGAGGGAGGTGGCCATGGCATTCCATCTGTGCATGACCATCACCTCGATCTCGTCCCGCTGATCCACTGTCAGGTCCTTGTTAACTCACAGGCGTTCCACTATCTTATCCATCTTTGCATAAACCTTGCTGATGGTCGGACCGTTGCCATCCACCAGTTTTAGCAGCAAAACAATGTCGTAAACGACATTGATTGCCTTGTTCACAAGATCCCAAAAACCTTCCGCATCGAGTATGATGTCTTCCATCTCATGGAGGGTCGAGCGCTGCGCATGGGGGACCAACGTCGCTGTCCACATGTCGTCTGACACGTCTGTGACCATAGCCACCAACGCTTTTCGCAGCTTCTTCAAGCGGTCTAGCATGTGAAACAGCGAAAGTTGGTGGCGAAACGCGTTGCCGCGGGTCGCAGTAACTGCCGTCCACCTGCATGGATGTAGTAAACATCCCTGACTCGTTGGTGGTTCATGACGAACTTCACCATGTCGTTCGCCTTCGTCACCGTTTCAGCCACCCACTCTATCTTCCCAATATCATGCAACATTAAGTTGAGGCACTGCGCAGCGCATGGCACATGGAAGGTTAGCGGGTATGTATCATTCACAAATCTGCCAGCTCTCGCGCACACAGCAACGTTGTCCATAATCACTCCAACAACACTCTTCTCGCCAACCTCGTGAATCGACTCATATAAGATATCGAAGTACGTTGCTGCTCCCTTCTCCTTGCTTGACACGCAATGCGACTTCCAAAAAAGCACACGGGTCGGAAAGGAGACCATGACATTCAAGTGCGGTCTCCCTCTTATGTCAGTCCAGCCATCAAGCTGGAGCATGCATCCGGTTCGAGCCCAACTTCTCTGCTGCCGCAAAACCCCCTCCTCGACCCACGACCGAGACATGTCCAACCTCTTCGTTCGCTGTGTGTCATATTTTGTGGGGATGAAGGACCGCTCCGCGTCGCGGACCTTCTCTATCATGCGCAAGAAATACTTGTTGCGCATGATGTTGAAGGGGAGCCCCAGTTTGACTGGAACAAGAAGGTGTTGAAGCACGAGTTACCTAATGGCTGTACCGTACCAGATGGCGGAGTTTGAGCAAGTCCACGAACGGCAAGCTGGAGAACGACGACGGGGAAGAGGGGAGGAGGACGACGACAGGGAGGAGGGGACAAGGGGAGGAGGACGACGACGGGGAGGAGAGGAGGACGACGACGACGACGACAGAGAAATAGGGCGCAGTTGATGAGGAGGAGGAGGAGGTGGAGACAGAAAGGGACGACGGGTGGGAGGGGACTCCGAGGAAGAGGACGACGACAAGCAGGAGGGGAGGAGGGGAGGAGGGGAGG